GAATAGAAGGAAAGATAAAGAATTACCCAAACAAAAGTTAATGAGCACCAAATCTGACCTATAAGAAATATTAAATATTTGTGTCAAATAAATAAATAAAATCTTAAAAAAAAAAAACAGAAAAGTAGGAAACACTAAAGCATTCAATTAAGTATATCTATAAAAATCAGTCAAAAGAATCACAAAATAAAAGGATGTAAAATAGTACACCATATACCTAAACATGGAGGGGAGAGGAGTAAAGAATGAGTTCAAATTTAAGTGACCCTCAATTTAATATAGGCTTCTAGATGCATAAGATTTTATATATAAGCCTAATGGTAACCACAAATTAAAAAACAACAATATGATAGATATGCAAAAAATGAAGAGAAAAGAATCTAAGTATATCACCAAAGAAAGCCAGCAAACTGTGAGAGAAGAGAACAAGAGAAGAAAGGAACAGAGAAGAAGTACAAAAAACCCCCATAAAACAGGTAATGAAATGCAGTAAGTACATACCCATCAATAGTTACTTTGAATGTGAATGACCTAAGTGTTCAAAACAAAAGACATTGGTAATGGAATGGATAAAAAAGCAAGAACTATCCATAACCTGCCTACAAGGCAATGTGAATTGAAAATGAGAGAAGGAAAAGGATTTATCATGCAAATGAAAGTCAAACTTTCACTATTTGCAGATGACATGATACCATATAAAGAAAACTCTAATAACTTCACCAAAACACTACCAGAACTGATAAATGAGTTCAGTAAGCTCACAGGATACAAAATAAATATACAGAAATTTGTTGCATTTTTACACTAATAATGAAGAGGCAAAAGGGAAATTAAGAAAATCTCATTTACAATTGTACCAAAAAATAAAATACTTAGGAATAAACTTAACCAAGGAAGTGAAAGACCTATACTCTGAAAACTATAAAACACTGAAAAAAGAAATTGAAGAGAACACAAAAATTAGAAAGATATTCCATGCTTATGGATTGGAAGAACAAATATTTTTAAAATGGCCATACTACCCAAAGCAATGTACAGATTTAATGCAATCCTTATCAAAATACTAACAGCATTTTTCACAGAATATGAACAAAGAATCCCAAAATTTGTATGGAACTACAGAAGACCCCAAACAGCCAAAACAATCTTGTAAAAGAACAAAATGGGAGGTATCACAATCCCAGATATCAAGATACACTACAACACTATAGTAATCAAAATAGTATGGTATTGGCACAAAAAATGACACATGAATCAATGGAACACAATAGAGAGCCCGGAAATAAACCCAGGATTATATGGTCAATTAATCTTGGGCAAAGGAGGCAAGTATATGCAATGGAAAAAAGAGAAGTCTCTTCAACAATTGGTGTTGGGAAAATGGGTGAGCTATATGGAAAAGAATGAAACTGGACTACTTTCTTATACCATACACAAAAATAAACTCAAAACGGATTAGAGACCTAAATGTGAGACCTTAAGTCATAAAAATTCTAGAAGAGAGCACAGGCAGTAACTTCTCTGACATTGACTATATGAACATTTTTCTAGATATGTCTCCTGAGGCAAGGAAAACAAAAGCAAAAATATACTCTTGGGACTACATCAAAATAAAAAGCTTTTGTACAGTAAAGGAAATAACCAACAAAACTAAAAGATGACCTATTGAGTAGGAGAAGATATTCACAAATGACATATCTGATAAAGGGTTAGTATCCAGAATATATAAAAAACTGATAAAATTCAACACCAAAACCCCCCAAATGATCTAATTATACATGGGCAGAAGAAATGAAGAGACATTTCTCCATAGAAGACATACAGATGGCTAACACACATGAAGAGAGGCTAGACATCACTCATCTCAGGGAAAGTGCAAATCAAAACGACAATGAAATGTCACCTCATTCCTGTCAGAATGGCTAAAATGAAAAATTCAAGAAGGATATGGAGAAAAAGGAACCCTGGCTCACTGTTGGTGGGAATGAAAGCTGGTACAGTGAACGTGGAAAACAGTATGGACATTCCTCAAAAAAATTAAAAATAGAATTTCCATATGATCCAGAATTACATTACTTGTTATTTACCCTAAGAATACAAAAACACTATTCCAAAAGATATGTGCACCTCTGTGTTTATTGCAGCATTATTTACAATAGCCAAATCGCAGAAGCAACCCAAGTGTCCACTGATTGATGAATGGATAAAGAAGAGGTGGTTTATACATATACAATGGAACATTACTTAGTCGTTAAAAAAAACAAACAAACAACCTTGCCATTAGAAACAACATTTATGGATATAGACAGTATAATGCTAAGTGAAATGTCAGTGAGAGAAAGATACATACCATAAGATTTCACTGGTGGAATTTTAAAAACAAAACAAATAAAATAAAGAGACAAACCAAAAAAGAGATTCTAAACTACAGAGAACAAACTGATGGTTATCAGAGGGGAGATCGGTGGGGGAATGGGTGAAGTAGGTGAAGGGGATTAAGAGGACAGTTATCATGATGAGCACTGCATAAAGTATAGAATTGTTGAATCACTATAATGTACACCTGAAACTAATATAACCCTGTATGGTAACTATAGTGGAATTTAAAAAAAAAAAAAAAAAGGCAGATCCAACTGGAATGTCTTTCTGGGCACTTATTCCTTTCATAATGTCTGATCCTTGGATGAATTTCTGGTGATAGAGAAGCCATCTCATCCTGATAAGGGTGAAAGTCTTATTAAGAATAGAGGAGGGGCGCCTGGGTGGCTCAGTGGGTTAAAGCCTCTGCCTTTGGCTCAGGTCATGGTCTCAGGGTCCTGGGATCGAGCCCCACATCAGGCTGTCTGCTTAGGAGGGAGCCTACTTCCCCCTCTCTCTCTGCCTGCCTCTCTGCGTACTTGTGATCTTTGTCTGTCAAATAAATAAATAAAATCTTAAAAAAAAAAAAAGAATAGAGGAGAAGGATGATAAAAGGAGCATTGTTCTGACTGATAACTATTGGGCCAATATATGCTATTCAGAGATATCTTATTTCATGAAATATATAAACTTTTTACTTGCTTAGGAGAAAGACACAGAACAAAAAACAAAAACAAAAACAAATTGACTTAACCTGGAGAGAAATTTGTTTAAAATCCCTTTATTCTTATGTTTTACCATATAGTATTTGCTATTTCTTTCTATTGAATTATAATAGTTATTTAGGATTCCTCGCATGCTTAACTAACCCATTTGAGTTTCTGGAAATGATCAAAGGTATTCTAAATGGTAGTTGAGATGATCTGTAATTTATATTTTGGAGATCATGTGTGAAATGCTTTTGATAGTTTGCAATTTAATAAAATTATTAAGTTTTATTAGAAATTTTTATTTTTCAAAAAAATTTTAAATATATCTTTACTATTTATTGGGGTGGGAAATCTAAGTGGGGGTCCATTATTTTCATTCTATCAAAGTATAACTTGTTACAGAATAAGAAGTTGTGAAAAGGAAACCCAGTATTTAGGTTTAGAAATCTGCTTTGTTCAACTTTAAAGAGGTGGTCTAGGATGGTCCATATTACTGTCTTTTTGTATCAATTATCATCAGACATCAGAGGGCAAAAACAGTTAATTTCCAAAATGAGTTTGTGTTCTTCTAAGGTGTTATTTCACCTCCATATATTTTTTTCCATTTTTCTTTTCTTTTCTCCTTTTAAAATTTCCTTTTTCCCCCTTTCTGTTTCTTTTTCTTTCCTTTCTTTCCTTCTTTTCTGTCTTTCAATAAAGTTTACTGTATTGAAAGTAAAATATAAAATAATTACTCTTTTTTATTTTCTCTTTTACAATTCAAACATGATCAGGTATGTTCAGGGCGGCATAGCCATAGACTTCTCATTGTAGTTCCAAACAATATCCAGATACCAATATAGCTCTGCAAGCAGAAGCTAAACTACATTATAGGCAATTCTCTGGCAGATTAAATTTTTGCATTTTCATTTACTTTGCACATTACACATTTCAGATTTACTTTGAATGTCAATATTAAAGACTAATTTGAGGAGCTCCTGGATGGCTTAGTTAAGCATCTGCCTTCGGCTTAGGTCATGATCCCAGGGTCCTGGGATGGAGTCCCACAGTGGGCTCTCTGCTCAGCAGTGAACCTGTTTCTCCTTCTGCCTGCTGCTTCCCCTGCTTGTGCTCTCTCTGTCAACTACATAAATAAAATCTTTTAAAAATTAAAAAATAAAGCCTAATTTAAGGACCTGATTTTTAGAAAAATCTTAATTGTTACAACTCCCAAAAACATTCATTGAATTCCATATGATATAATTATATAAGATTTTATGGGGGTTAGAAAGATAAGAGATAAGGTTGGGCCCCTAGTATCTTATAACAAGGAATGGGTAATCAAACCCATTGGTAATCATACCAATCAAATGGTATGACCTGGACAGGTCACTAGGCCATCTATGACCCACGACCTATGAGGAGAAATGGCTACACTGTTGGCATGTAAGTGTGTTCCATGGAACTCTTCAGGCTGTGAGGATTATGATGGGATTGGTCTCACTATCCCTCTCTTTTGTAGGACAATAATAGAATTCTAAGACTCAACTCAGTCACTCACCATCTGCCTTATGCTCTTACACAGGCATGTCTGCTACCTTCAGTAAATGACGCACATGTAATGAGAGCTACACACCAATGTTCTCTTTGGGACACATATTGCACTAGCCAAAGCCATTTGTAATATTTTGGTGGACAATTATTTGTTCTATAATCATTGTCTTCATGTTCTTAAGGGAAGATCTTGGGGTGGATGCTATCATACCTTTTTTTAATTGCTTTTGGAAGAAAGCACTTAATTTACTTCTTTGTTTGTCTTCATTTTGGTGAATATGCCTTGGCAAAGGGTACGTGGCAAAGGGTAGGCACCGAATACAGCACAGATCGCATGCAGTTTTCCCTGTCTACGTCATTATGTCTCATGTTCTTTAATGAACGTCTTGTTCCTTGCAGGACTGTTCTCTTTACTCTGACTTCTGTGGTGGTACTTGTCATTACAACTGACTGGATCAGCTGGGATAAGCTGAATCGAGGTTTTTTGCCCAGTGATGAAGTTTCCAGAGCATTCCTGGCTTCTTTTATCTTGGTCTTTGACCTCCTTATTGTAATGCAGGTAAGCGTTTTCCTGTTTCCCTTCTCTCCCTAAAGCCGCTCTAGGCTTTGTTAACCCATATAACTAACACTGTATGTACAGTGAAAACTCCACAAAGCTAAAGAAGTGGGGTCTTCTCTGATCATGGTTTCATCAGTTTTACAGGGAGGAGATGCCAGCTGGGGTTTTATGAAAGGAGCACCAAAAATCCATTGTATGAACATTGCAAGGTGGGCCCTGAGAAACCGTACAGCGTGGTGATGTTTTCGCCAAGGCTTCCAAACAAGGCAGAACAACAACAAAAAACCCCTGTCATTTAGTAAATGAAAAGCTACAGAGATGAGGATGATGTAAAGCCAGCAAGGCAGGGATAAGCAATTGCCAGAGCAACTTAGGGTTTTATAGCAGTTGAAATGGAATGATGTAAAAATGCTTTTTCTGGTTATGGAAATTATCACTTTCTTTCGGTACTCACTAGGGATCATTCCATTTTCATGTAAACAATATTTCTGCCCTGCTCAGCACCAGACTGTTTGTACAATAGCATTTCTCTAACCACTGCTACTTGTGTGATCTACCAAGGATGCTTTTGGGGTCTTAGGACTCCCAAATGGAGGAATGTTCCTTTGTATGAGGCTGAAAGAAACATTAACTATTTCTTGGCACTTTATCTTGTTCATTAAATGTCCATTCATTGGCTAGACTTCTTATTGGCTTTAGGAGGCAGTTGGGGTTTTCCCCTCTGAGGCATTGTAAGTTACCAGAACAAAGGCCACAGTCGTTGAAGGGAAGGTAAACACCGTTGTGTTCCAAATTTATGTGAGATTTCACAAGATGGCAGATTGGTTTTCTCATTTCTAGAGGCAAAGAAGTGATATTCTGTAGTATCTTAAAAGAGAATAACAGTTTGGTTTTGGTTTGGTTTTGTTTTTTTTGCTATATAATATAGCCCAGGCATTAGGTTCAAGATGGTTCCTAGAGTATATTGCTATTTTAGTGAATAACAATTTAAAATATGTTATCAATTTAAAACATTATATGAAATTGAATGTTTGTCTCACCTAAAAATTGATGTATTTTTTATTTTCTGTGGGCTAGTTTAGCATAGTGGACAAATTAAGAAAGCATGGTAGGTTCCATATCTGTCTCTTACTTGCTATACGATGTCCTCTGGATACTCATAAAATCAAATTTGAAACACTGTGCAATAATGCATGATGCATTACTTGTTTAGAGGCTGTTCTTATCTTCTTTCATCTAATACTCCTAAATGATACACTTCCTTGCGTGAAGTATCTGCTTTGGTCAAATGGCCTAGTCAAAGTTATTAGTAGCCAAGTAGACCATCGTCTTTTAGATTTTTTTAAAAATTTGTATATGTGAGAGTATACATTTCCTGACTTCTTAGTACTATCTGTCACCTTCCACCCTCTTTTACATTGTTTTAATTATTGTTCCAATAAGGTCACTAAAATCAGAGACTCGAGAGGGAAAATGTAACATTGCAATTTACAGGTGTTATGGACTCACTCAAAAAGTACTTAGTAGAGAGGGCTAGAAGAAAGGAAGGATAGTCAGGATTTATGCAGACAGAGTCAGCAGGACTGGGAAGGGGAAGGCATTCTAGATGAAAGAAGGGACATGAACATGTGGAGTCAGTCGAGTGCTCAAACGTTCAGACAGTAGCTCGAGCACCGAGTGACTGAAAACAGTTCGTGCTGAGGAATGTATCAGTTTGGACCATTTTGGCTGCAAGTAACAAATAACCCTGCCAAGCTAGCTCCATCAAAGGGAGAATGTATCACTGCAATGTAAGGATGTCCTACAGAATTAAACAGGAGGGACACAGTTCCTTTTTAGGGACACATGAAAGCAGAGACCAAAGTGTACCAGGGAACCCAGACCTAGCTTTCGTTCTCCATCTTTCCTCTTTTTTTTTTTTTTTTAACTTCTGTTTCGTTTTCTTCTCTTATTCTAAAGCAGGATTTTGAGCTTCCCAGTTCACGTAGAAGAAAGTGGCTACAGCCAGCACCTCAGAGGGAGACCACTCTCTAGTTGTCAGGCTTAATTTCACATTCCTGGGGAAAGGATTGCAAGGACTGGATCACACCCACCAGTGAAATGGGGGTGAGTCCACAGAAGAGCAGAGAGATACTGGGCCTTAAAAGCCAAATTAGTTGATGTCTAATATGAGGAAGAGTCCAAAAGGAGGCCCAAGAGTTAGGGCCCTTAATTCTTTTTCTCTGTCCTTCAGTACCGAGTCAGCTGGCCAGGCCAGTAGATTTCTCTTTTGCTATGTCTCTTGTAGCATAATCCTTCCTTCTCGTTTCTCTACTTCTATTCAGTACTGACTCTCCTCTCTACAACTGTAAAATAACCTCCTGTGGATACTTCTGCTTCCAGAAGTCCCCTTGTCCCATACACTCTATGAGGCTCAGCCTCATAAACTTCCAATCTGAAATTCCATTCTGTCCATGCCTCTTCTCAGCCACAGTGACTCCACATTGTCCAAGAATAAAGTACAGACCCCAAGAGTGTGCACTCAGTGCCTTCCTGATATGGCTCCGGCTGTGTTTCTCTCACCTGTCTCCTAGGTTCTAGCTCTACTGCAGACCAAAGGGCTTGTTGTTTGGCCCCTGACCACAGCACACTTATTCCAGGATGTCTTTTTTTCTCCAAATATGTTTCCTTCTGCTCTGTTCACCTAGACCCTGCCATTGAGCACCGTGCCAATTCCCTCTCATGAAAACCGTGTAATCACTTCCTCCATGGAATTCCTGCAGCACCTTTTACCTGGACTACAAATCACTACGTCACTTTTTTCCTGCTCTGTGGAGCAGGAACTCTAGCTTATAACCATATATCCCTGGAGTCTCCCTACCACAGAGTCTCACATGGGCAGCAGTATGCCCAGAGTAATAACTGCTTGCTGAGGATAAAGAAGTGACATTTGAGCACTGAGTCTCATGCAAACTCTGTCCCCTTTTGGGAGCCTCATGTTGAAATTTTGGAAACTAGTGCATGAGCATTTAAGAAGGAGAATGAGTTTTAGGAAGCAGAGCCTTGGAAGACGTATATGTTCAAGATATTTAAAAATATTTAATACAAATATCCTAACAAGTCCAAAACCAACTAAACTGTGGTCTGCTTCATTCCATATTCACATATTTCAGACAAAAGAAAAATAGAAAAGTAGAATAATTAGTGGAAATGGGGGGAATAGTTTTATTAAAAGATTTTTTTCTCATTAGACTTATTTAAGTGATTTAAAAACAATAGACTTTTCTAAAACTAGAAAAATTCAACATATACTATCAAAAGATATTTAGTTTGGGGTTAAAAAAGAAAAGAAACCTTTAGAAAATGGCACTACTTCTGTAAAGATTTTACCCTAACATAGTAGGTCAATTCTGAAAACTTGTAGAGAACGTATGGTTATTTTTATGACTATTAAGTAGGATTTTTCTACATTTATCATAAAAATCATTTGTTGTGTCACATTTTTCTGTCATTTTAGTAAAACCACTAGAACTAAAGCATAAATAGATGCTAGTAAAATATAATATGTGACTCATATAAATCACACATTTCTACAGAACATGAGAATTGTAAAAATTCTTCTCTCTGAGGAAATCTTATCTCAAATTCTGTTTAATATTTATAATTTTGCCTTTGATTTTTTTATTCCTTTAGTTCATTGCATAAGTACCTAATTTGCAGTTATGTTCCATCCATTGATCTCTCGTTAGATTGAAGAAAAGATATACCTAAATTATGTAATAGTTAAAAATGTAATGTACTGTAATCAAAGAAAAAAAAAAAAGGTGTCCTAGGAGTCCACCTACTCAAAAGAGAGAGAGAGAGAGAGAGAGAGAGGAAGAGGTCAGTGTAGACAGAATAGTAGGACAAAACTTCAAAGAAGAGATGACAGTAGAAGGATAGGCAGCTAAAGTTTGAAAAGACGAAACAAAAAGACAATTTTCTCCAGCAAAGAGTAGTATTATAATCATCACAGTAAGAATTCAGTTTTGATCCATTACGTTCAGAAAACATTGGTGAATTCTATTTTTTATTTTTTGAGGAACCTCTGTACTGTTTTCCAGAGTGGCTGCACCAGTTTGCATTCCCACCCTCAGTGCATGAGGGTTCCTTTTTTTCCACATCCTCACCAACACTTGTTATTTCTTGTCTTTTTTATTCTATCCATTCTAATAGGTGTAAGGTGATATCTTACTGTGCCTTTGATTCACATTTCCCTGATGATTATTGAAATTAAAAATAGAAATATCATATCCGATAATTCCACTATAGGTATTTACCCAAAGAGAATGAAAACACTAATTTGAAAAGATAGACGTACTTCTATGTTTATTGCAGCACTATTTACAATATCCAAGATATGGAAGAACCCCAATGTCTATCTATAGATGAATGGATAAAGAACGTGCGTTGTATATTATGGACTATTACTCAGCCATGAAAACAAAATGAGAGCTTGCCATTTGCAACATCATGAATAGACCTAGATGGTATTATGCCAAGTGAAATAAGTCAGACAGAGAAAGACAAATATCATATGATTTCATTTTATATATGGAATCTAAGAAACAAAACTAAGGGAAAAAAAACAAAAAGTAGAATTAGACCTGCAAATACAGAGAACAAGCTGATGGTTGTCAGAAAGGAGGAGATGGAGATGGGCAAAATGGATGAAGCAGAGTGGAAGATACAGCCTTCCAGTTATAGAATAAGTAAGTACAGGAATAAAAAGAACAGCATAGGTAAATATATTCAATAATATTCAATAATATTTAATAACATTGTATGGTGACAGATGATAGCTATACTTGTGATGAGAACAGTATAATGTAGAGACTTGTTGAATCACTATGTTGTATACCTGAAAGTAATGTAACATTGTGTGTCAACTATACTCAAGTTTAAAAAAATAGCCAAACTCATAGAAACAAAGAGTAGAATGGTGGTTGCCAGGTGTTGAGGAAAATAGGGAGAGGTTGATA